AACCGGCCTCGAAAACTGGCCAAGGGGGCCTGTACGGAGTGACCGGCAATGTTTTAAAAAACGATCCACTTGGCGCCTAAGCGGCCTGAACAAAAAATCCGCATGCCTAGACCCAGGCGGCCCTACACGGGCGGATGTACTTGGGCGGGCGCCCAAGCAGGCGCCTAGGGCCGTAAAGTCTTTTTTCGTTTTTTTAAATCGCCCAAAAGGGCAAAGGGGGTCATTTTGATCCCAAAGTTGTATAAAAACGTTATGGGGTTTATTTTTAACTGCCAAAGTGAAAAAAACAACCCTCAATATATGCAAACCCCCAAAGTGAAAAAATCTACAGGGCGCACGAGTTCTGAGCACTCACCTAGGCGCTGGGCACTGGGCGCCAGGCAGGCCGCCTAGCGTTTTTTGAAACCTTGGTAACCGGTAAACCGGCCGGTTCAATCGACCTAACCGAGCAAGTCCTGACCGGTCAAAAAAATGTTAAAAGCAATAAAAATATACAAAAGAATCTAACAAAAATATGTAAATTGTATTTAAAGCATGATTAAACAAACATCCAAATGAAGCTGAAAATTAGTGAAAAAAATGGATTTTAAAAAATCAATTTGTGCCTAGGGGTATTTTTGAAATTTTTCAAAAAAGATGGAAAAATGTTAAAATAAGTATTAATGGGCAAAACACTTTCCAATCTTTACCAAAGTGATAAAAAACATTCAAACATGCATTACAAACAAATCCCTTATTTTTTTAGATTTTATATAATTTTTTTGATTTTTTTATTTTAAATATCCAACCGAATCACTACAACTAGCCAAATCGGAACCAGCTAAGGACTAGTTTCGATCTGACCAGGTGGTTCCAATTTGAACCGCTCAAAACATTGGTATGGGCTTGGAGCATTAAGATGAAGGGTAAACCTCAATTTTGCCACCACAGTTCTTCAAAACTTCGAAACTTCCACACTTGTTTAGAGGGTGCCGGCGATTTAGGCATGAAAAAATGACATGACATGACTTGACACAAAGGAGGGGCTAATACCATTTGGCGGGCGGGCCGTTCCTTTTGTTTTGCTGAAACAGGTTGCTATGTCATTGTCAGATTTTTTGTTGTCTCCATACTCGATCTAATGTATGTACTTATAATCCTTTTGCCCCTGCTCTGTAGTTCCGTAGCAGGTGCTTTCGGGCGCTTTGTAGGTTTCGAAGGAACCTCTATAATAACCACCATGTGCGTTTCATTATGAGTATTCCAAATTTGCCACCTTAGTTCTTTGAGCCTTTCATAGATGCCACCTTTGTAAATATTTCCAATTTACTTTCCAAAATACCTTTGATATAATCTCTGTCCACCTGAACCGCAAAGCATGACATCCCTCGACCAGCATTGGAGGCCCTAGTTCTTCCCAAAAACTTGGAAACCCTAAGATTCCATCTCTCCTCCCCGCCTTCAACAACTAGAAGGCTAAATATTCACCTCTCTCTCTCTCTTTCTCTTTCTTTCTGGACCTGTATCAAAAAATAGGAGCCTTAAGATTTACCCCCCTCTTGTTCTCTCCCCACACATACACCTTGAACCCTAGGGATCCATTGCCCCGCTTCCTATTCCTTTTTTGGTTGGGGCCCGAGAGCCTTTTTTTCCTTGGAGGAGATTTCGAGAATCAACCAACCGACAAATCTGTAGCCAGGTGACTTGCTGCCTGCCTCTCGCCCAAATAGGATGAATCTAAAAGGATGTGCTGGAGAACTGCCTAGAACAGGAGCTACAAGGACAAAAGATCTCCAGGCATGTGGTGGAAGCAGCAATGGTGCTGCAGTAATAAAAAGAGAAGGTGGAGAATTATTGGGGAGGACGACTATGGAAGGGAGAAAAATTATTGAGCAGAAGTGGGGCTTCCAAAAGCCCATCTTCCACACACTTAGGAAGCTGCAGCTTCTCCAAACATGTTGTCTTCACATTTTTGTTTAAGCCATGGCTTCCAAAACAATCCTGTACTTCCTCAAATAGACACGGGAAGTTCTACAGTTATGGAAGCCTTGGATTCTGGAAGCAACAAATGCGCCCTTCAGAATTTTATTGTTTCTGGTGGTTGGAGAGGCAGCTTTTGGCTAGAGAAGGAGAGAGCGATCCTAGGGTTCATGGATTTTGATGGAGAGAGAAGTACAGGTTTTGGATTTGGAAGATAGAGATTAAAAATACCCATTTTCAAAGCTAAAAACTAAGATTGTCAAAATGTGGCATTAATCAAGGATTTGTAAAGCTTAGGCGGTAGAATTGGAATACTTCAAGGTTCAAACTAAGGGTGGCCGTTTTGAAGTTTCAGAAAGTATGGTGGCAAGAGTAGGTTTTCCCTTTCATGAAACCTAGTGACAACTGGTTATCAAAGGAGATTCTAGAGATGTCATAGCTTGGGGTAATGGTAGAGCGGTCCGCCTATGGAGGCTAAAGAGTGTGCTCAAACGAAATTTGGGAGTGGGCTGCAGTTTGCCCATTCTTGTAGGGAGAACGGTGTTGGTGCTGACAAGGTTAACTTTCTCAAAAAAAAAAAAAAAACGGTGTTGGTGCTGATGCTTTGGCAAGGAAAGGGGTTTCAGAGACCTCCTTGTTTGTTAATTTTTTTTTTTAGAGTCCGCTTGCAAGGAGGCTCAACTTTGTACATAAAGAGGGTATATTTCATTGTAAATGAAATTTATTCAATGACAATAAAGTTACAGATCCATAAAAACCCATTTTCTATACTTGCTGTGGAGGGAAATATGGGTAATGGGTTTATTATATTTTCCTGCCGAGTGGTTTATGTTGAGGTAGGATTGCCTTAAATGAGGCATTCATTGCACTTGATTGTTTGATTTGACGAATGGGAAGGGGAGGCTTGAAATCATTGTTTGAAAATGCAGCTGCTGATGTCCATGCCATATTCGGAAAACTGTGATGGGCCCGCATGTGTGGCGCATTGCCCGCATTGCCTACATCGCAATTTCTTTGGGCTGTTTGGCAAGTTTCTCATTTCCTAATACTGTTCTTCCTTTTCTCCTTTTGTTGGGGGGGAGGGAGGGGAGAGCAATGTCTTCATCATCTTCAAATAACAAGAATCTGGCATGGAAATAGCTGAACTCAAAAACCCCAAGATTGAAATTGCGCTATTTGTTCTCTTTGTGGGAATACTTATACGAACTTATTTTCTAGCAAAAGGAATACCCAGCGGGTATTACCATGAATGTTAAAACATGCCCACAAGCAAACCGATGAGATGATAAGACAGATTAGGGCATATAGAATAGCCAAGACAAAAAGCACAGAAAAGTAGAACATGAAACGAAAGGAATTTATAGAAGAAATTCAAGTATCTGATGACTTGTCTGATTGAGAGTTGAGAGTTGATTATCTTTTTAGTTTATATATCATAAACTTCTCATCTTTGCTTGTTTGGAGTTTAATCTTTGAAGTTCAGAATTTTGGATATTCTATATGAGATGGAATTGATTGCTTTGTTTACATTGTAATTGTGTTAGACATGTGAATTACCAAAGATTAGAAGTTAGAACAACAAACTCTTATTGCTCTTATCAGGCTATTAGGGGAAGTCTCAGGCAATTAATATATTATAGATATTAAATAAATTTAAATACCTACTATCACATAAATCACATTATGTTTTTTTCTATGTATTATTATATTTTTTGCATTTTTAAAATTTTAAAATTTATTGACCGTACTAGAGGTGACTTGCCTGCATCGAGACTGTATTGAGTTTCATCGCTGCATCGGACACTGACCTCATTGGGTCTGCATCCTGCATTTTAAAACACTGCTTGAAATCTTACGTATTTGGATGGGTGTGCTTAGGTAAAAGTGGAGATGGTGAATTAAGGATTGCATGAAATCCACTTTATCATTTAGCTTCATAAATGATGTCATTGATCTTCATGAATAGTTTGAGAGGTTTGTTCTACAGCTTGGATGCAGAAGGTGCTTTAGCTTCGAATTTTAAGGTGATTCCAAGGCAAATCCTTGGTAAAGTTTACTGCCTTAATGCCTCCCCTGACAGTTATGCTCCTGTTTTTCACTTGAAACCTTCTAAGTTATGTGGTTGGAGGGAATTGAGATCAAGAGATCCCTCATCTCCTTTGTTATTCATACACAACATTTAGTTGAAAGATGGGGAAGGTTGCAGTTATTATTTGTACTGGGTTTGCCTAATTTCACACCTTGTGTGCAGTTGATACTTCACTATTTTGTCGGTTTACTATTTTGTGTCTTATGTTCTTGTTACGGACCTTTTAGGGCTGGCTTAATGACGTGGAGACAAGGGTATTTTTGTTATACCCTTCATGACCCATTTAGGAATAACCAATTCATGGGGCGGGTGGAGTATCACAGAACTGTAGTTAACCAAATACCTACTACAGGCCAAGCACCTAGGAAGAAATGTAAGGAATGGGAATTGTTGAAAAGATTTAATTAGGGTGGAATTTGGTGTTAGGTTAGGGAGTCAAGATAATGAGTCAGATATTTCAAGAAGCTTAGGGTCTACTAATGGTGAACTGGCTTTCTTTGTTTTTACTTAGGGTTGCCATGATGTGTCGTAAGCCACTCACACTTCTATGAATGTATTCCCATCTCTTCATAGGAGGACATATGTAGTGTTCAAGGCCAATAACCAGAAGCACCATTTTTTGTACATATGTTGCCATACATAGTGTCTCTTTTACAAGAAGTCTTTTGTGTAATTTGCCTATTAGATAACAAACAATTACAAAATTCATATGATGCTTATAGGGATTTGCATCTTTTTTATAGTTTCCTTTGAAATTCAGAACTTGTAGTTGTGTTTGAAAACTTACTGTTTTAGCATTGATAGTGGTTCTTTGTGACAATCTTAACATTTTCTACATTAATTCTATTCTTGATTACTGGGATATCTTTCTGCCTTATTGAATTTGGGAATTTCTTGCCTTATTGAATTATGGTTCCTGGATTGATTGTTTCTCTTCTATTGTAATAATCAGGGGTATGCCCTTATCGAGTATGAGGACTTCAAGGAGGCCCAGTCAGCTATATTGACCATGAATGGACAGCAACTCCTTGAGCAGACTATTTCGGTGGACTGGGCTTTCAGCAATGGCCCCTCCAACAAGCGAAGAGGCATCAGGAGAAGGTCTATCTCTAATCTTGAATTACATAAATTAATAAGAGGGAAAGCACAAGAGGATGAAATACCTAAAAATAAAAGAGACCAAAATGAAACATTAGGAAAATGCAAGTAACAGTAAAAAAAAGGACTAGAAGGGGATAGGGCAATACAGCATCTTCCAGATTTGTCTTGCATGTTTAGCCAACACTGCAAAGTCTCTAGATCCCGTTGCCAACTGTCAAATGGAAATGTGCATTTTATTGGCATTTTCCTTTCCCCCTTCTCTTTCTCTGTGTGTGCGCGTGCGCATGCATGCGGGTTTTGTATTCATCGTGCCAATTTTATATGAATCTTATTTTGCCTTTCCTTGTATGGGTCTTGAGTAAATTTTCGAGACTGAAACTAGAAAACTGTTGGATTTTTTACGGCTATTGCTTCAAGCATGATCTTTGTCTGTTGCTTGGCAGGTCGCCACGTGGGCACCGCTCAAGGAGTCCTAGGAGGAGACACTAAGCGGCTTTCTGTGTATGAACTGTGAAGGATTTTGGACTTCTTTCTTTCCTCTCTGGCATTTTATGAGAGCTTTGGGTGCCTTACATGACAGCTTTAGATAGATCTGGCGAAATTACTGACTGTTTTGTTATGAGCCTTTTACCTATTTGAAGTCTTACTGTTTTGGATGATGTTTGCTCTTATGATGTTTGTTTTGTTTGCGAGGCGTCTTTATTTTCCTTCTTGTCTTATGAAAGAAAAGTAAATGAAATGGAGTAATGGTCAAGAAATCACTATGAGTGAACTTTGAGCGGGATCAGAGTAAATTGTAGTAATAATCTTATTAACACAGATAAAGTAAAAGTAGAGCATGACCAATAGGAAAGAAGAACAGAAATATGAAAACTAGAAAAAATGAAGAATAGAATAAGGGGAAAATTTTAACCAGAGAACATGAAATTAAACATGAAGTAAAGGAACAAGGCAGAAGAAAGACTTGGGAAGAAACCCCTGTAGCTTAATGGTTTCGAGATTTCAATCTTGTGGTCAATGTCATGGATTCAAATTTCCAATCTTGTGGTCAATCTTGGGGAAATTTACATAGAAAGAACGGAACTTGAGGGACAACAAATTTTCAATCTTGTGGTCAATGTCATGGATTCAAATTTACAATCTTGTGGTCATTCTTGGGGAAATTTACAAACAAAGAACGGAACTTGAGGGACAAACAAATTTTCAATCTTGTGGTCAATCTTGGGGAAATTTACAAACAAAGAACGCAACTTGAGGGGCAACAATGATAGATGCAATTGGAAAGCGAAAACTTGGGTGTGTGTTTGTGTGTGTGTGTGAGAGAGAGAGAGATGCAATATAGTTATGTGTGCAGCGCGCGAGCTTATATGCTCATATCTATCTTGTGGCCTTCATTTTTGTATTCTTAATGTTTTGAATCTTCTATTGAACTTCAAAGTCTAAATCTTCTCTGTTTTGTTTGTCAGTATTTTAAAACTTAGCCAGTTGACTTGGGACTCATGAATAAGTCGCATTGGGACCCTGGCAAGTCTGGTGGCAATACCATGAGACTCGCTTGGATCTTACCATCTTTCAAGCCCTTTCAACTTGCCTGACTTGGGCTTGGGATTCTAGCTAGTTCTGATCCAAGTCAGTGTTTTCAAACACTGATTTCATTTAGCCTGTTTAAAATTCACAACTCAGATATCTGTGGTTTCTGCAAACCCTGATATTGAACAGAATTTCTTCGATTTTTACATGAACTAAAATAGAATATAGCTAGCAAAGTTAACACTTCCTCAAACAAAAGAATATAGATGTTAGCTAATTGTTTGCTGAATAAGCTTGCATCTCTTGATGTTTGGATAGAATCAGCCAATAGTGAGACAAATACAAAATTATCAGGTAGAGAGCATGGTGGTCGCGTTCATAGGTTGAGGAGTGAAACACTTTCAAAGTTCACTAGATGCATCGGTTTCATCTTCATAGAAAATAAGAGGTTTTGGAGGTTCCAAGATCTCCACCTTCCCTTCAAGCATCTTGGCAACTTTTCCCATGGATGGCCTCATCTCCTGCTTCTCTTGCAGGCACCACATAGCTGTTTTCACCATGCGGTCCACAAAGGCAAAATGTAAGTTGGGGTCATAAAATTTTATCAGTCGTTGGTCCAGTACATCTTCAATTCTCCTCTCTATGTAGGCCTTGTCATATACCCACTTAGGGAAATACCATTCAGAGCTCTCAAGGGATGACCTTGTGAACTCAAAGTTGCGAACCCCGCTCACAATCTCGAGCAACACCATCCCGAAGCTATACACATCAGCCTTGGGCGTGATGGTTCCAGACCTCACCCACTCTGGTGCTAGGTATCCTTTTGTCCCCCTTATGGCTGACATGCTCACTATGTCCTTCTTCGTGGCTTTCTTTGCCAGCCCAAAGTCAGATACCTTGTAGGAGAAAAGAGATCGATCAGCCCAATGTGAGATACTTTTGTGGGAGAAAAAAGGTGATTTAAGTGGTGTTATTTCAATCGTCTTGTGACTTGATACAGATGAAAGTGTACCAACCTTTGTTTTACAGAGACCATGCATCTAAAAAACTGGATTATCTTTTCCAGCAGGCCTCATATTTAGTGATTCGAAAAAGAGTGAGTGATTCCAAAAAGAGGCAAGATCCAAGAGGGAACCCAAAGAAACTGAAGAGATGGAGAGAGATGGCATACCTTGGGGCAAAAGTCGTCCTCTAGGAGGATGTTCTCGGGCTTGATATCACAATGGAGGACCCACTCAAGGCACTCCTCATGTAAGTATGCAATCGCCCGCGCCACCCCAAGTGCAATGCGGTACCTCATATCCCAATCTAACTGCGGTCTCTCCGTCTTCTCATCATCGTCTCCACGATTCTTAAGAAAGAGGTACTTATCCAATGAGCCATTGGGCACATACTCATAAACCAAAAGCCTCTCGTCTTTCTCCACACAAAACCCCCAAATTCTCACAAGGTTGAGATGGTGCATCCTCGCTATAATCGTTATCTCTGCCCAAAAATCAGACTCCCCCCTCAAAACATCCTTGAGCCTTTTCACTGCAACTATTCGTTGGTCAGGTAATTGGCCTTTGTAGACAACACCGAACCCACCTTGACCCACCGCATCAGAGAAGTCGCGGGTCGCGGCCCTAAGCTCAGCATATGTGAACCTCTTTGGCCCGCCAGCGTGCACCAGATCGAGCCCAAGTGTTCGAGCCATGTTCCTATACTCTGAAAACTTACGCAAGAAAGCCCAAAAGGCTGCTGCCCCAGCTAAGAGCTCTAGGGCAAAGAGGGTGCTAGTTATAGCTATCTCTCTGGCCATGGCTCGATTTTTTCCGGGTGGTAAGGCCAAGCGTATTGTCTGTGGGCAAACCAAGTCGAGCGAGTTCGTCAGTCCTGTAAAGTTCGATTGTTCAGTCTCTTGCACTGAGACTTTCAGAAAGGTAACAGTCGGGAGTCCTTGGGACCAAACACCCCAAACCAATCGGTCAAGGACATGGACACAGTATCGGCTGCCATCAAACCTATAAATGAAAGCGAGGCATCGAGTATCAGTTTGGCACGTATTCTCACACCCAATTGAGTTATTAGCCCCTGTATATGCTCGATCTGAGCCTCCAGTGAAATTCACATGATCAAGTCTAAGAAACGTGGTTCGAGCCGAGGTTCCGAGAGGAAGCCTTCGAGTGCAGCCTTGGCCTCCGGGCTCGAACCCAGGTGGGCATATGCAGGCCGGTGGGCTTGGACCTGGCTTGAGCTTGGTGCACACTGATCCGAGCCCACATGTGCCGATGATGCTACATGCCTCTTGCACGGCCTGCCATGCCACAACCCACCCGTTCAAGCGGGGGTCCAGGCTGTGCACCCGCAGGTTTCCATCTGGGTCAAGCGTGAGTCTCCTTAGTCTGTTTGGTGATCCCATGTCTGATAAAACAAACGTGCCCCCATTCTGTTTCATGAGGACTCCATCAGTGGTGAGGTTCGCTATTGCGCTATCAGTGGACCAATACGAATCTGATGAGTTAAGCACGAGCTTTCCGCAAGCTTCGAGGCTATACATTCCTGGCTCGTACGAGTATGGGGCTCGACGGCTCGTTAACTGTGTTCTGTTTGGGTTGCAGTGTTGGTTGGGTAGGAGGGTATCAGTGGGGTAGTCGAAACTTGTCCAATTGCCATAAACCAAGCTCCCATCTTCTCGCAAGAGAAGTTGAGTTGAATTTGAGGTCCTAGGGGCTGAAGGCCAGAGGTTTGGGCCCGAAGAATCATTGAGGTATAAGAGGCCGGAGCTAGAGAGAGAAAGCGAGGAGGATCGGCTAAGACGGGGGAGAGACCAGGTGACTGTTGGGCCTGGGGTGTGGCGGAACCATATGGCAAAGATATAAGACGATTGATATGGTAGGAAGCCTGCTGCAAAGGTGAGGTTAGGGGAGACGAGGGTCAGGTTTTGGACAGGGCGCCATGGAGAATTTTGGAGAGAGAAAGAGGAGAATTGGCGCTGGGCTGATGTTGGGTGGAGGAGAGAGAAGAGGAATAGGAAGAGGAAGAGGGGGAACATCTTCCGGTTGCATATTCTTGTGTGAGGAGATTGCTGTGTGCTTTATGAGCTTGGGTTGGAGGAGAGAGAAAAGAAGGGCGGCTATGGCTTGTTGAATGGGACGGTTGTCCCTAGTTTTTTTTTCTGGTAGATGTTTGACTTTGGATGTGGGTTAATTTTTATATTTTATCCAGAACACTCTGTGTGTGTGTGAGAGAGAGATTTCATGGTGAAAAACAGAGAGAATGAGAGAGGGACGCTTGATGGGGACGGAATTCCCTTCAGCGTTGAGCGCGAGATTTTTTTTTTTTTTCCGAGTAACATGCGTTTTTTATTAAGATAATGAACCAACCCCAAAGGAAAAGGAAAAAAAAATAAAAAATAGAAACCAGACAAACAGAAAAAAAAAAAAAAAAAGAAGAAAAAAAAAAAGAGAACCTGCTACAAGTCGCAAGATGATCAACCTCCGAATTGAAACCCCGTCGGACACGGACACGGACACGGCCAAAGACTAAAAGAGAGATTTGTCAAAGGGAAGTATAGAGTTAGACAGAGAGATTTCACAGGACATATGCATATAGAGAGAGAGGGACTGCATTTCCCGGTGGGCCCCTTCAGGGTCGATAGAAGAGGAAAATGGTCCTGTTGGTTCCTGTACGCTGTTAATCTCTCTAATCGCACTTTGGAGTACCCTAGAGCGTGCTCCGTTGGATTGTCTTGTATGCTTTTTTCCCTTCCTTTTATGTTGCTTTTTATATTAAAAAAGTTTTTAACTTTATACTACACAGTTAAAGTGCACCTAAAAACTAACTTGTTTTATGATTGAAAATCCTCGAATCTAATCGATTATCTCGACCTTGAGATTCATAGACATGAAATAAAAGGGTTTCTAATTTTAAAAATACTCAATCTTTTAATGGATCATCCATTATCAAAATTTTCCCGGGTGTATAGATAGGCTTGATCATCAAATTTTAAATTTTTATAATTGAGGATAACAATAGATTTTCATATCATCACAAAGGCTTTGTGGCATCAAAATTGCATGTTGGGCAAAGTTTTGAGGTATATGTTACTTCAATAGTACAAGGTTGACACCTTATACAAACTTCACCCTTTTTATATATGGCATTGTATAGTATTTTATTTTCTGTATAAGGAGATCACAATTATTTTTATTCATCAGATGTGAAATATAATAGATAAGAGTACATTACAACAATCGAGAACTTTTATTTGAAAATTTTGTTCAAATAATGACACATCCTCAATCATCCGATTTTAAATCTAATGGTCAATAATGATTATGAATTTCATATATCAAAAAGTAAATGGTCTCATTGCACGCATGGGTATACACACACATATATGGGGAGTAATTTCGTGCAACTGTTGTATTATAATATAATGAGATAATCTTAAAAAACCATGTTAGGCTATCAATTTTTAAACATATACTCTTTTCATTCTTATAAATAATTACAAAAAATAAAATTTAAAAAACACACTTTAAAAATTTAACTTAACTATAGTGAAATATGACATTATCCACATAAAGTGTGACACCCACATATAGCATTAATTGTTTTCTAACTATTAATAAAATACCACTAACATCACCCACAGATAACATTAATTGTTTTCTAACCACTAATAAAATGTTATTAGTTTTTTTATAAAAATATTTATCAATTTCACTAACATCACCCACATATAGTATTAATTATTTTTTAATTACTAATAAAATGTCACTAGTTTTTTTTATAGAAAAATCTATTTTACCACTCTTAATGATAAAAAAATATTGAGTACATTAAGCACAGGAATGAGATGTACTGTCGTAATGGACAATACGGCAACCATGCCGGGATCGTGCCATCCCGCTCATCAAAAACTATGATCAGGCTGACCATAGAAAGGGTTATTGTAGCACCCCTTCCTCTCCTCACCCACTCTTTCCATGCTCGGGTATCCTGTGTCTCTGTATCTGCATACTTGTGGTGAGACGTATCCGTGTCCGTGTCCGGGCAGCTCACACTCACCACCACTGTACCGATATCCATACATTTGATTGAACCCATTTCTGTAGTCATAGAAGGGGCAAACAGGGTGATCCAATCCTGCCACTGAACCATAGCTATCAACCCCTAATGGAGAAACAGCATCATTAAATCTTGACAGTGGAGTTTGGCTCACAGCAGACTCAAGTAAAACCTCCCAGTGCTCCTCCTCAAAATCAATAAATGGTTTTTCCGTTTCAATTGCCAAAATTGCCTCCTTTTCCTTCAATAATGGCGTTTTCTCATCAGTTACAAACTCTTCCCACTCGGTGCTCACCACTGTCACTAAGGATTTCTCGAACTTGATGCCATTAGGGTCGTCTGATGAGCCAGATGGTAAAGATGATGGGGTACGCAATGGAGAGGACGACAGAGATGAAGAGTCCTCTGTTATTTCCCACATCCCATCGAGGAAAGATTCGAGAGCACGTACCTGAACAGCTGGTATCTGCTCTACAGTCGGGTACTCATATGAACCACAAAGTCCCAATGTCTGATACATGTTGTAGAAAGCGGTTAAGCGCTCACTTTGCTCCGCCACATTGCGGTAAGCTTTGAGTGTCGCCACGCAGAGGGTGTACCGCATACTGCAAAGCTCGTCCAGAATGGCAGCTAAATCACGACGAACAATGCTGTACCATTGGAACGTGTCACGTACAATGAGCTTCATGGCTGCTCGAACGAGGAAGCTGCCAGACGTTGTGCTGCTGGGCTCGCAGTCCATGGCCATGTCCAACAGGGCTTGGAGTCGCGGAAGGATCTCCACAATCTCGGTGGTGGGTCTTTGTTCATTTTGGCTGGTAGAATATGCCGTGCTCTGATCATTTTGGTTATTCTGAAATGTAAATTTCAGATCATTTTGGTCAGAGAAGTTCTGAGACGGATTTTGGTCATTTTGGCCAGAAAATTCGGCTGGATTTTGATCCTTTTGGCCGGAAAGGTTTACTGAACTATGATCATTTCGGCTGGAAATGATCTTTGAATTTTCAACAGTTTGGCCAGAGAACTCGAGGACGTGATCTAGTAGTTTGGCATAGGCTCGAATGAAGCTAGTAAAATGGTTAGAGGCTACAGGAGAAGAAGCAGAGAGGTCTCTGAAAGTGCAAGGGTGGAGGCTGAGCAGGCCATTAGACTTGCACCATGAGAATTCATCCGAGAACATGTATGCGGAGGGGTGACGTATGAGGCGATGCAAGAGCATGAGGCACTTGAGCGCCACCCGCCATGATGAAGCGCGAGAGAAGCGGCGCGCAAAGGCCAGGCAGAAGGGGCGAGCGCTAGAAGGATTTAGGGTTAGGGTTTTGAGGAGGTCTTGTATGGGGCTTTCAGGGACGAGGAGGTCGTTTGGCCAGGTTGAGTGGAGGATGAGGATGTCCAAGCCACATCGTGAATTTGAGAGCTTTGTGATTCCGGCATGTGTTTGTTCACGCAGTGCGGCGATGGCCTGCCGGAATTTCTGCTGCATTTTCTGGATTCCAACAGGTATTCAGCTGAAATTAGGTGCTGGAATTTTGGCCAGAATTTGATCAGATATTCCGTTATTATTGTGGCAAGTATTATCGGATTGTCGTCATTCTTGCTGGAAATTAGCCGGAACTTAGTTCAAATTCTGTTGATTTTGCCGAGAATTTGACCAAAAGTAACCTGGAATTCACTTGATATCTCTAGAAGAATTTTTCGGGATTTCATTCGACAGGCCGGAATTCAGTTCGAATTAGGCTATTATCGCCGGAATTTGGCTAGTTGAGAGTTATGGAAGGAAAGTGGATTACATCGTGGAGAGGGCTAGCTAAAAGGGGCGGCCTGCCGGCCACATAGTTAACTAGAACGAGGCGGGAATTTTTTTAAAATTAATGTGATTGGAATACAGTAATATTTTTGGGTTATTTAATATGAATGGACGAGGCATGAAATATTGTTTTTCTAAAAAAAAAGTATTGTGATTGGAATACAGTAATATTTTTGGGTTATTTAATGTGAATGGATGAGACAAAATGTTTTTGGGTTGTTTCATTTGGAAGGGATGGGCTGTAAACTTGTGATTGTTTGTTGGGATAATCGGGTGTTAGAAATAAACAAACAAGAACACTTTAAAATAAAGATAGATTTTCATGCCATCCTAAGAATTTTTTATACTTAAATTACATCTTATGATAAAATTTGAAGGTGCAACTTAATTTAAATTTAATTGTTTAAGGTTGCGCAAACTATAAGAATAATGGTAAGTTTTAACCAAGAAGGCATGGATAATAATGTAAGAGCAAATAAGATCATAATGCCACGTTGATCTCATTTCCAAGTCACAAACAAATGAAAATTGACAACCATTATTTTTCGTTGTATGAGTAAATGACAAAACCATTATTTGCATTATAAGAGTAAATGACAAAAGTGCCCTAGTAACAACCAGACCTATTTTGTCTTTCAAAAATATTCCAAATCTTTCTCGTTGAGTATTAACTTGGTGTGATTTGTATAGGCTGAAGCTCTAAACAATTAAAGTAAAGCACACCTTCAAACAGTATCGAGAAATATGATTTCAATATTGGAAATTTTTTTTATTGCTTTAAAATATATTTTCTTCTTTAATTATAAAATTTAAAGCTTAAAAAATAATATAGATCGAATAAATTCATGAAAACTTGAAAATTGACGGTCAAAAAATACATTACAAGTTGCATGCGATGCGGAGATGATTAATTTGAAGATATTTGGATATCAAAACATCCTTTCCAATGAAAATTTTGATGTGAGCTCTAATATTTCCAGTGAAAATTTGAGGTGGGCTCAGCTATATATAAACTTTTTCTTCAAGTTAATGCTTGGGTCCTAGGACTTTTGATTTGGTACCAGGGCAAGTCTTTATATCAAAGTCAAATTCAATAAATTTGCTTGATACATTTAAGTGATTGGATTTTAGACAATGTCAGTTGATATTTTTAACTAATTTTCCTTTGTTTCTCTTAAAATCGGTTCGATGCGTAGTTAAGTCGGTTTTGATGGGATCTGGGTTTGAGACTTGCTTTATGGGGTATCTCATAAAGAGAACACAATTAAAGCAAATGGCAGAAATGGATTTTTAAGGTAAATCAATTACGTAAATGCTGTTGGCAGCTGAATACACGTTTCCAGCTCTATAGCAAAGAGAGCTGTAGCCACTTGGGCGGTAGAGAAAGAGACTCTCGTTTGTTTAAAAACACACAAAAAAAAAACAAAAAGAAGGCCGGAATCCTTGATTCCGCCATGAAAGTGAGAGATTCACACAGTGAGAGCTATGGCAGTGTGGTGATGCCGTCCCACAAAAAATATTGAAACCAAAGATGATACCATATCAACATAGAAAAACAATTGCAAAGAACAAAAACGCCCCTCCACTTAACCAGTTGCAGGGCAACTAGCAAATCCTCCAAACAAAGAGAGAGGGGGAGAGAGAGAGGAATATCATTGCCCCAAATAGAAGCCATAATTTTTTCTACAAGTGGTATTTCCCCTGGAAGCTTTTTCATAGCTCTTCCTTCTGCTAATGATTCATAATGCTGAGAATGCTTCTCTTGAAAAAGTAATACAAATACAGGACCATTCACTACTGAAGCACACTGGCGCTCCAATGGGCCCCCCCTCCCTTCCCCCCATTCCACACAAAGTACATATTTTGTTAATAGAGATTCTACAAACACCAAAAACTCGATAAATTAAGTAACAAAGGATACTAAATGTTTTCATACTTCTGGCAAACAAAACCCCATTTAGCTTACAGAATCAAATGCAAATGCAAATCCATCGCTTGAACTGCATATGGTCTGCGCAGAAACCCCATTCAATATTTTAGTAAACCCATGAACAGTATTCAGTCCAAAGCAACATAGCAACCACTTGGCAGAAATCGCTTTGAAGGAAGATGGTCGCAATTGGCAACTCCAGGTGCTGAAGGTTTCAGTGTCATTTGATACCAAAAAACTGGCATATCACCTTGTTCTCCTCAAAATTTTGGGTTTCAGGAACGCATGATGGAAAACCTGGATGAGCTTCTCATTTGCCTCAGTTTCAGACTTACTTCCGATGCTTGCGCTTTGTGTCAACTCTTTGTCTTTTCTCATCGTCCCAATCTCTTTCGTGCATTCTGAATCAGGACCGTAAAAGTTTCGCATATTAACCCAAAATTTCATCAATGCAATAAAAACATGAATCTGGAATTGCTCGGCCTCAATAAAAACAATTAAGAAATGCATACAATGAGATCATTTTACTTTTTGACATATTATTGACCGTTAGATGTAAAATCTGGTGGTTAGGGATGTATCATTGATTGGGTATAAAGTCCAAAACAAATATTCTCAAATGTTGTGACACACTTCAATCTATTTGATTTCATATCCAATGGTTAAAAATGATTGTGTCCTCCTTGTACCAAAAGTAAATTGTCCCAGAGCATAAAATCCAAAGAAATAAAAGTCAGGAATGCTTCTTACGTCTGAAGTACCTCATGATCTTTTTTGTTGATAAATAACTTCAAAAGTGGCCAAAGTGTTAAATGCAAGAATTTCTTCAGATAGAAAAAGTACAATAGAAAATGAAAATATTGCTTCAAGTTTTTCCCGTCTTTTCCCTCATTTTTTTATCTTTTTGTTTCCCAAGGGAGGGAGAGGGGAAATAAATATATATATCCATGTGTGACCAACAAGACCATGGATAACCATGACTTTCAGTTTCAATAGGTATAGTATAACCAAATGGACCACGGAATTCCATAGTGCATTGGGTTAATCATTGTCCAATGAAACGGTGGATACTGATAAAGGGCAGGATCTGCCATCAAGACCATGTCCTGTTTGGGTGAGTCCCACTCTACATCACAACCATCAGTTAGTTGCAGAGAGATGAACCCAATGGATTATGGTCTATCCCAAGGCAGGAAAAATTGAACCGAAATGGTTAATCGGACATGGGGACAGAAGTGGTTTAGCCGGCCTAATTGGTAAACCGCCCGGTTCAACCAGCCTAACCGCACAAGTCCCGGGCAATCAAAAAAGTGTTAAAAAATAAAAAACATACAAAACAAATCTAATAAAATATGACAAGTATATATAAAGCATGATTAATCAAAGCACATCCAAATGGAGTTGAAAATTAATGAAAAGAAATGGATTTTAAATAATTGATTTGTGCCCAGGGGTATTTTTGAAATTTTTCAATGAGATGGGAAAATATAAAAAGAAGTATTAATGGCCAAAACAATTTTCAATCTTTGCCAAAATGATGAAGAACATTAAAAAAATACATTACAAACAAAATCCCTTATTTTTTGGGATTTTACATTTTTTGGAATTATTTTTAAAATACCCCGCTAGTTCACCAAAATCGGAACCGGCCAGTGGCCAGTTCTGATTGACCGGGTGGTTAGAATTCTAACCACCAGATTTTTCCTATGCTGCTCTATCCAAAGCACATGGTATTATTGTATACTTTCCGTTCTCTTTCTAAAACAAAGATAAAAAAGGAAAAAGAAAAGAGAGAGAGAGAGAGAGAGAGAGAGATTTCATGGTTTTAAGAAGATACTGTTCATTGTCTCGACGTGTGATCTTGCTTGGGGTTTCTTTGGCATGCACTCTTGGGAGTGGTTCCTCCATGTAAGTTGCACGCTGGGCTACAGCGCCCTTGCGCTCCCCCCTATCTCTGTTATCATAGGACTGAGACATCCCCATGGGAAGAGGTGAAGGAGCCATCAATGGATATTCACCTGCAGTATCCCCGATGTGATCCTTTTTTATCCTTCTTCTTTTGGAAGCAGCAGCATCTGAATCATCTTTCAACTGGTTTCCTTTCTCTCTGTCCCTCTCATCCACCTAGAGACAGGATTATTATGAGAATCGAATAACGCAAAGCGTGAGCACAAGTCCATCTGGTGAACTGGGCAAGTCAAAACTGAAAGGCGTAGTTAACCAAAAAAAAAAAACCACGACGAACTAGAATAATGATGACTGATTTGGATGTTGAGGAAAAGAGATTCAGAAGAGTCAAGTGAAACATATGAACATGGGGAAAAGAAATGCAAGTTTAGAAATGCAAAACTTAAAGAAAGATGAATGAGAATAAAATCTAGCCACATAGACTCAACATTGTTCAAGGAACACATCTGTGCCCCCTCCCTCGCTCATGTAAGGCAGTTTCACATGGGGAGACAGGTCACCTGAAATAATAGGTGCCCTAAAAGACATGATAGTTTTTTCTATATATCCAAGCCATTACCCCAAAAGGCATACTTCAGGAAAAAAATCATGGGGAAGCCAGGAGAGGCTGTATCCTGACTTGGAATTAAAAAAATAAAAAAATAAAGATAAGAACTCAGAGATAAATGCATATGTAAAATCTCAACTGGATGTTGCTTTGGTAACTATTAAATGTTTGACTATTCTTTGAACAGTGCTACACATGCCGTTGAGTTTCTAAACCAACTCTATGCACCACATTCCTCATAAGTTTCTTGTGGTCGAAACATCGAAACTACAGAAATTACAAGCTATACAAGCAATATACAAATCCAACATCTAGTAAAACGCAAAGAGAAAAGAGCACAATCCCTCCCAATAACAAATGCTTCAAATGGAAATTTCAAATTAAGAAGCCAATTTTAAAATATCAAACATAATTTACTGAAAGAAATAGACATACCCTTAATGAGAGGGTGTCCCGATCATCCCGCTTCCTTTCACGAAATTCCTCCTCTCTCCTATGCTTGGCATCATCCAATGAGACTACTGAATTGTCCTCGGATCGCCTTTTTTCTTTCTCTTCATGCCTGGGGGACGATAACCTCTGCATATGCCTTGCACTACCCACCCTTTTATCCTGCTCTTCATCTCTTCGACTGACAGCAACTGATTGGGGAACGATATTGGGAGGCAAAGGTGGGGGTGGAGGCAAACTTTGGCCATGGAATCGATCATCAGGATGAGATCGTTCTACTGGTGTTTCACTGTAGCGAGGTTTACCCCGTTCTTCTTTACCCCTTTCATCCTTACTCTTGTCCCCTGCCCTGTCAAAGCTCCTACCACTGCCTCTATCAACTGACCTCTCTCTTCCATGCCTTTCCATTGATCTATCCCTCGCCTTCTCAACTAAAACGTCTTCACTACGAGGCCGGTGATCTCTATCAAACCTCTCACTAAGCTTCTCTCTTGTCGGCCTATCCATAACTTGCTCATCACTCCCAGTCCTGTCGTAATCTAAGGGGTGAGATTTGTCTCTCTCTCTATCAGAGAATCGAGCTTCAAGCCCATCCCCATCCTTTGCATCCATCTCCCCTTTTCGACGTTTCATGTGTCGGTCAAGCTCTTCCGATGGGCTTGATCTCCTCAGCTGCTTTTCTGAAAATTTAGCAGCCTCATCTGAAAAGGGAGACACAGAAGGTCGGGAAGAGAGAGCTCTCAATCCATCTGCCGCATCAACTTCATCAGAATCCTTTTCTGCACCAACCCTCTGGCTCATTTGTTTGGCCACTCCACTATCCACAATCATTTTAATATTAGTTGCAGCTGCAGCTTTGCCATGCATGGGAGCTGAAGCAGTGGAGCCATTGCCAGCAGCTACAGAGGGATTGGATAGTAGGCCATCCCTTTCTCCAGTAGAAGATAATGGTAGCACAGTCACCCGGCTGGATGGTTTTCCTGACTTGGAATCATCTTTAGTAACATCAGCTTTGGACTGCTTGGTAAGCGAACCAGAGTGGGCCCCTCGTTTCGCTAGAGGTCTTGACTGCCAAAAACAAAAAAAAGTTTGACTAAGATATTGCTGCATTGAGTTTATATGGTGCACAAATTAAACCTCCTTGGAAAAAATATCAGGATAGACCTGGAACACTGGGAAAGGTCATGCAGAAGGTCAGAGATATACCAGGACAGTACCTGGACCTTACAAATTGGATTTGAACTATGTTTGTCAATTATTTTAAAAACAGGACCAGGATAATCACTTCAAAAAATGTAAAATTGGCATTTACCAGACCACCCCCAAACCCCAACCCCCACCCTTCCCACTCACCCAAGAAAAGGGGGAAAAATAAAAGGGGTCCAAGTACTGCTTGAAATTTTATTTTTCCAGACTATCTTTGCAAATGCTCCAGATATTGGATGATATTTGCTGATTTCTTTTTCCTTTCTTGCTCTTGGCTTGGTGGTTAGGGTCAGGACATTGAGAAAGAACCCAATTCTAGTTAACCTACCCAAAAGAACTGCCTTTGGAAATCAAGCAATAGAAGTATAGCCAGGAAGGAAAAAAATGATTCAAGAGACCTCTTTAACCCAATTGAAGAGTAACCTGAACATTGGAAAAGGGAAGGAAAACTTTCTATTGTTTCAGATAGATCTATATATCACAGCATTTGATCCGACATGATAGTAGTAGAATCCAAATTGGTTTTTAAACTCCTCAGGATTTCTCAAACTATCATACTTGTAGAAGATGAGGTATCCAACCCAACAGGAACAGGAAACAGGAAAGACAGTCGGTACCTCCTTGTACAAAAGGTAGAGGTGTTCAAAGAAAACTGCGCATTTAAATGTTTACTGTTTGGAAAATATCTACCAATAGCTTCAACTTGACTTCTAGTAAGGCAATTAATGATAATAAAATAGTGTAAACTTAAACCATATATGAGTACTTGAGAATGTTAATAGAAGCTAATGGAAGTTGCATTTTGAAATTCAAATGATCAAAAATGAATTTTCGACTCAGTTTGCTCCAACATAGGTGTTCTGGATCAAGAAATTCCAGTGAACCTAGGTTGGTCACAAAGTTTACCACCATTGTTGCAATGAGAAAAATGCCTGAGATGATCTTGATTACAAGCATATGAAAAGAAATGGTGAGGTGTACAATTTAGTGAAGAAAATAGAACAGCAATATAAAGTGGAAAGTCCTCTATAAACCAATAGACTATGATATAATGGTACATTCATTATCCATGGAGGTCATCACCATCAAATGAAAGCACGGATCCACAGTAACTGGACATGAACTCAATGGGCAAGTCCCATTCTCTCATCAAGCCCATTTCAGTGGACTCTAAATTCCCTGAAGTGAGAATCTTCTATTAAGAAAATTTGGAGCATAACATGGTAGACATCTCATCCAAAACAAAAAACTAATAAAAAAAAAAAAGAAAGGCAAAAGAAAAAGAAAAAGAAAAAAAAGGGTAGATACCTCAGTGTCCAATTTTGCCACCACCTTGCTCATACTTTCATCCGTGGAGCCTTTAATAGGTTCATCTGCATTCTTTTGCAACCCAGGTGACCTGCTTGTTCCACTAAATGCGACAGCTGAATTTATTTGAGCCTCTGCAGTGTTTACTACTGAGCTTCCCTTTGATTTAGCTTGTCCAGCGTCAATCTTGTTAAGAGGTACACTGTCCGCCCGTTCAAGCCTACCATCTACAGGCTTCGATCGAGACATGTGATCCTTTGAAGAATTCAACCCATCTGATGCCTGTGTGGCTGAGGTGACATTTCGGGTAGCACCATTCTCAATCTGGGAATTTACTAGACTCTGGTTATTTGCAGAAGTTACTGCATTGCTGGTCAAGGGTTTTGCAGCAGGCGCTGCAGCGGACTTTAGGTCAACATATCCCATGCCAAATTCTTCTTCTGAGACCCATGTGCTCTGCACAATTTAAGGAATTTTCAAGTTAAGATTGCAACCTCAAATTCCCATTAACAATAGTCTTTATCTTCACGACTATTGAATGCTTTTGAAGGGAGAGAATATCTGTAGATTTCTTAGAGAAGATCACCTTTCTAGCAGCCAAAGCTGCAGCCACTCCTGTTGCCAAAACTTTGAGATCTTCTCTTTCATCTAACTTGATTTTCGCAACCTGCAGGGAGAAACCTCAGACTCTTGAAAAGGCAATCGGAGGCCAAACTCAAACAAATGTGAAAGAGATTTAGTTATACGCAAATATGTAATATGTGACTTTCACTTACCCGTTTCTCAAGGTTAATCCCACTCTTTCGAGTGACAGGGAAAACACTTGAAATTTTCGTTAGCAATATAAGAGCATTACGAATTTCCATGTATTCAGTTGATTCCAAACACTGAATGAGTAGCCGTGTTATCCGTCCGCTCCACTTCCAGTGAACCTATTGCCAAAAGAGGACAGAAAGAGAACTTAGTTTTAATAATACAAGAATGTATAGTTCTAATAATGCAAGAGTGTATATTTTTGCATAAGCAATGAGATGCATATAAATCAATTTTGTTGGACAGCCTATAAGTAAATGGCTCCTTACTCTGTTTCTAACTGTTTTGATGATGCATTATGCAAAGGCAAATGAGAAATTATGTTGGAGAGAATCTGTTTTCTAAAATTTTTTCAAGTTCAAAAGGCATCATAGCCTAAACTTGAGGCTAAAGCCAACAGGAAACCCTAATCATGAAATACAGCATTTGGATTCCCACATTGTTTTATCCTATTCAAGTAAACAGCTATCAAGTTAAACAAGGTAGCATTCACTTGGACATCAAATATGATTAATTTTATCCATGGAAGAGATTTAGGAAAAGGCTTTCATGAGGATGAAGATAGGAAAGGCTTTAGGACCAGATGGTATTCCGATAGATGTTTGGAAGTGCATGGGGGAGATAGCATTGACCGGCGGACCAAGCTGTACAACAAAGTGTTGAGAATAAAGAAAATGCCAGATGAATAGAGGAAAACTATTGCGGTACCTATTTACAAGAACAAAGGAGACATACAAAATTTTGTAAACTATTGAGAGCTTAAACCTATGAGTCATACTATGAAGATATGGGAGAGAGTGATTGAGAATGTCTAAGGCACAAAATGAATGTGTCAGAAAACCTATTCGGTTTTGTGTCAAGGAGGTCAACACCCGAGGCTATTTTCCTACTTAGGCAACTGATTGAGAAGTTTAGGGCGAAGGGAAAAGACCTCCACATAGCCTTTATCAAGGTTTAACAAAACAGATCGGTGACCCGGATCGGCCACCACAAAAATCGTGTCGAATCGGTGGATCGACGATCTGGATCGGAGAATCAACCGGTTTTGGCCTAAACGAATTACAAAAAAATACTATAATTTATCAAAAATCTAGTTTTCTAGATTTCTAAAAGAAATAGTGGCAACTGCATTATGGTTTTTCATTATTGTGTCAAAAATATGTAAATACTGAGAACCTATTTCATGTTAAGTGTTTGTTGTCTATAAAATTCATATTATAATTAAAATAAAGTTTAAAATGCAACACGACAATAAAATGAATCTCTCTTAACTCTTTTTATTTACTTTATGATTGTATTAACTTAGAAGTTTTATTTTTGAAAGAAGCTATATGGAACAAATTTAATGGAAGAGGTTGTTAGTGTAGAGAGAGAGAGAGAGAGAAGAGAATTTTAGTGGAATCAAAGTTTAAAGTCCAAAATAGTGGAATTCATTCAACATAATGATATTAACATAGAGCGTTAACCACGTGTGCAAGTGCATTTGCTCACCTCATTAATGATGGGACACATGGCATGTGTTTGAAGCACTAATTACCAAGAGAGATGGGGCGGGCCACCCCTTTTTCAAAAAATAAATAAATGATATAATGTATTTTTAATGTAAACATATTCACATAATTATACTGATATAAGTTTAACATAATTATATTAATTTATTAACATAATAAACACTACTTCATATATATATATTTTTGAAATTATATATGTAATTTCATTTTTGATTACTATAGTATTAAACTAATTATATGTATTTATT